ACAGCTGCACGGCGGTGCCCAGGCCGGCCAGCTGCGCGCTGGCGGTGCGCAGGAAGGGCAGGTAGTGGTTCGCCAGGAAGTCCCTGACCGTGGGGACGCCCAGCCGCAGGACGACGCTGCTGTCCAGCGTGGCGTTGGAAAAGCCCGCGAAGAACACGCGGACGCTGCTGGTGACCGGGCCGTGGAGCCCGTCGTCGCTGAGCACGGCCAGCTCGAACGTGCCGTCCGCCGCCCGCGGCTGCGCGCTCAGGTCGCAGGTGCCCCTCGGGATGCTGAACAGGCCGGCCACGCCCGCCGTCAGCGAGCAGCGGAAGGTGTCGGCCACGTCCGGGTCCTGCGGCTTCACCGAGCCCAATGTGCCGCCGGGGAACACGGTGCCGAAGTAGTTCACGAAAATCTCCACCGCCCGGGGCTGCGACGGGTTGTCGTTCTGGTCGATGACGGTGACGCGCACGGTCCCCGTGGACGACATCTGCGGCACGCCCGAGTCCCGCGTCACCACCGACAGGTAGAAGTGCGCGATCTGCTCGCGGTCGATCTCCCGCGTGGTGCTCAGCACGCCGGCCGCGCTCAGGCTGAAGTAGTTGGTGGCCGGGCCCGTGCTCAGCAAGTAGTAGGTGAAGGGACCCTGGTTCGGGGGCAGGTCAGGGTCCGTGGACTGCAGCGTCGTCACCAGGGTTCCCGGGCGCTTGTTTTCCATGACCTCGCCTTCGCAGACGGTCAGCACGGGCCCGTTGTCGTTTATGTCTTCCAGGGTGACCAGCAAAGAGGCGCTCCCCGTGGCGGAGGGCGTCCCCGAATCGACGGCCAAAACCGTGAGGTTATAGACGGGCAGGGTTTCTCGATCTAGCTCTGCGGTGACGGTGATCTGCCCCGTCTGCGGATGGATGGAAAAGGCGCCATTCTCGTTCCCTGACCCGATGAAGTACGAAAACCTGCTCCAGCTGGGGACGGAGTCTGAGTCGAAGGCACTGACAAAGGTCACATGAGTCCCCATCGGGACCCCTTCACTGATCTGAACGCTGTAGACGGTTAGACTAAAAATGGGCGGGTCGTTGGCATCGAGCACGGTGATGTTCACAGTGACCTCATCTACGTCGGCACCTCTGATGCTGCCAAAATTCTTGGCCAGGACCTTCAGAGATACCCTTTCTTCTTTTTCTCTGTCAAGGAGTCCAGAAACATAAATCTGTCCAGTCTTCTTATTGATCTGGAATCCCTTCTTTCTGCTGTTACCAAAAATCAGATAGTGTACCTCGCCGTCGGCGCCCAGGTCCCGGTCGCTGGCAAACACTTCTCCCACGAGCGTACCCCTAGGAGCTGCTTCTGAGATTTCGAAATAGTAACGTTTGGAAACGAAGCGCGGCACATACTCATTTGTCCCTTTCAGCTGAATATTAACAGTGGCGAAGCTGCACCTTTCTTCGTCGGGGACATTGAAAGCTTTCACAGTCAGGTGGTAGCTCTGCTTGGTTTCAAAATCCAAGAAGCCTTGAGTGGTGATGACTCCCGTGTTGGGGTCGATGACAAAGAGGTCACTGTCAGATGACTGCACAGCATAGGCGATCACGGCATTGGTTCCAGAGTCAGCATCGGTCGCATTGAGGTGGATAACGGTGGTCCCGCTCGGGGCATTCTCCAAAACAGTCGGCAAGTACTCATCGGGGAGGAATACCGGAGAATTGTCATTCACGTCAATCACATTGACGGTCACACTGCAGTAACCGGTTCTTGCAACCCATCCTCCATCCGTGGCACTGACGGTCATTTCATGTTTCTGGCATAGCTCATAATCGAGCGCTTTGGCGAGTGTTAAAACGCCCGTGGACGAGTTGATCGCAAAAACGCCCCCCTCGTTGCCCGACGAGATGCTGTACCTGATCACGCCGTTCATGGCCGCGTCTCTGTCTCGTGCGGAAACCGTCCTGACCATGGCCCCGATGCTGTGGCTTTCAGGGAGGGCTGCAGTCACATGGGTCTGAGAGAACTCGGGGGTGTGATAGTTCTCCTCAGTAACAACTATCTGAACAGTCGCTTGGGAGGAGAGTGGCGGGTTCCCTTTGTCCTTGGCAGTGACAGTGATCAGAAAGTTCTGATTCAAGTCAGAAATCAGGGACGATGCCACCGAAATCCACCCCGTGTTGTTGTCCAGTTTAAACTTCCCTGAATGATTTTCACCAGAAACGAAGTACTCCACTTCAGAATTCAGCCCAAAATCTTTATCATCTACCGCAGTCACTTTGATTAACTTTGTACCGACTTTAACATTTTTGGTGACGGGAGTAAAATACTTCATTTTAAGAAACTGAGGTGCATTGTCATTGCTGTCCACTATGTTGATGGTGACAGTTGTCTCACTAAGTAAGGAAGGGTTACCCCGATCTGAAGACGTCACTATGAAACTGTGTCTGTTGATGTTCACATTACTGAAGCCGCTGACATTCTGGTATTTTAAGACCTGTTTGCTGAAAATCTCTCCTGTGGTGGCATTAATCCTGAAATACTCTGACTGAGATTTTATAAAATAAAACACTTGTCCATTTGACCCCTCGTCAGGATCCGTTGCAGACACCTGAGTCACTTTAGAGCCAATTTCAGAAAGTTCAGGGCAATCTAAATAATAGGAGGGTCTGCTGAATCGTGGAGCATTGTCATTGACATCTGTCACAAATATTGTGACATCTGTACTTACAGTCCAGCCAGAGTCATGTGCAGAAACTCGGATTCTGTAACGGTCCGTATCTTCTCTATTCAAAGGCCTACTAATGACGATGTCCCCCGTGCTGGGATTAATTGTAAATGGAAGACTTCTGTCTATTATAGAATATCTACTGACGGCATTTACACCGACGTCTTCATCAGAAGTTGTGACACGTGTAACTGTGTATCCTAATGGGGAATTTTCAGGAACGTGGGCACTGAATATTTGAGAAAACTTGGGGGCGTTATCATTTTCATCTAAAATGTTAATGATGACTTTTACCGAGGTACTCTGAGAAGGGGACCCTTTGTCCGAGGACTTTATGGTCAGCACATACTGCGATATTTTTTCCCTGTCTAAAGGCCGAATGCTTCTAATTTCACCAGTAGCATGATTGATGCTGAAACTGTGTTCTTTGTTGCCGTTTACAATTTCATAATCTATCTGTCCATTGGGCCCACTGTCCTTATCCATCGCTGAGACGGTAAGTATTTTTCGAGGAGAAAGGTTTTCCAATATTTCAGATACAAATGGATCTTCCTTAAAAACCGGGGAATTATCATTGACATCTAACACGGTGATGTCGAGTTTCTCGTAAGAGGAAAAAGGAGGGAAACCTCCGTCTCTGGCCTCGATCCATACAACAAACTTTTGGATCCTTTCAAAATCCAGAGGCTGGCTAATGGACACCTGTCCTGTCAGCTGATCGATTTGGAACGTGTTGCCGAGATTCCCACTTGCAATGTAATAGGACAAAGGCTCGCCTCTCAAGGAGGACCCCGTAACCGTGGTGACGTGAGTGCCCACCGGCTGGTTTTCGGGGAACATGAACGTTCGCTCTTTGGCTCGCACTTTAGGGAAGTCTGCCTTGTTCACAAATCGGACAGTCACCGTTGTAGAGTCTGTCTTTGGAGATGGGCCACCGTCTTTCACGTGTACAGAGAACGTCACTTCTGAGGCTCCGTTTAGTGGTCCAGCTGCCATGATAGCTCCCCTCAGCGGGTCAATGTGAAATTTTTCAGAGTTTCTACCCGAAAGGGAGTAATGCAGTTCAGAATTGGGTCCGATATCAGCATCTGTGACTGTGACGGCAAAGACGAAGGAACCTATAAAAGAGGGAGCACGCAGTTATCACAGGGACCCTGAATACGGCCTCCACAGGAGCTTATGCGTGTAAAACACTGTATTGCCGCCTATGTGGTTTTACTTTCTCGTGGTTACTAGGGGAGAACAGTGTCTCCTACATCGTCTCTGAAGTTCCCAACTCAAAGCTACTCAATGGTGGTCTTCGGGAGCCGGCCTGCTGTTTTCTGACTGAAGCCTGTGCAGTCTGCGGAAGTTCACGCCACTCCGTGTGCCTTAGAGAGCAGCACAGAGAAGAGCAATGGCCGATCATCGCATGACATGATTCCCAGGGGGGAAACCTGTACCTCACACAACTGCCAACAGCATGATGACACGTGAGCTCGGACAGCTACGCTTCTGCCCAGCGTGAAAAGATAATTGCTCTATTATTTCTTAAAACATCTTTGAATTACCATATATGTGATCATATCAACACAAACGATGTTGGAAAATGACTGTTGACTCCCTATACCCACTGTTTCCTGCAAAATTCTTTTCCCTGTGAGCTGCTATCTCATGGAGGCAAATCCTCTACATATGCATATATGTACATATAACTCTATACATCAACCAGAACAATTGTGAAGCGCTAAGAAGTAAGAGCTGAGAAGGGACCTCGTGTGATTCCAAAAGTGAGCGCCTGGGGCGCATGCCGATGGAACAGGCTGGTGGAGACATGCAGAGACGTTGCCGGAAGGCCGTGTTTTCGAGATGCTCGTTCAGAAACCTTTCCCAAACCTGCACGCCTATCCCCGCAGACGGTTTCTGACAAAACTGAAAGTCATTTATTTAAAAAAAAAAAGGGGGGCAAGTGATTGTGACTAATTACGTCTCACGCGGAGAAGATGCTTCAGTCTTCCCTCTCTGTAGAGAGGCCACGCCGCATCGCCACATGCTGGACATGACCGGACGCTGCTACCAGCGTCACTGCAGATGAAGACCTTCGCCAGGGACTTATGACCCGTATATGGGCACTTCTTTTGGATAGAAAGTTGGCACAAAAATTTATGAACTGTACCCTTTCAATTGGTATCAATTAGACAGTCTCAAGTGACTACAAGATCAAAGATCACTGAGAGGAGGGATCCTGGCTCCATTTATTTTTTTCTCCTAATTAAAAATATGTTAAAGCAAGGACAATTAAATTAATTATGGTCTTTATTTGTATCTTTTCCTGTTTGAAAACTCCTCTCACACACTACAGATGGCAGATGATCTGTGCAGTTCCTGAGAGAGCACGTCATTCTTTTCAAACAAGCAAATGAAACCAAACTAAATTGAAAAGCGATGCAGCATAATAAATACATATTGTCAATACGAACGTGGTTCATTATGGCTGCATCTCTCAAAACTGGAATAAAATCATAATAGAAATAATAATAATTTATTAGAACTATTCATTCGTTAGATATTTTTGAAACTATATCTATGAAGCACTGCAGTAAAATATTCGTTTTCCACCAACAAATAGAGTTCAATGCCTATTATTCCTCAGATGTTTCAAGTGCCAGGATCTGGCATGAAAAAAAGAGACAACGTCCCTCCTCTCAGGGGACTCGCACGCAAATTACATCTCCAGGCAGGACCCTCCTCAACTCCAAAGTCATTTTAACCATTGAACTGTCATGCTACTATTTTAATTATTTAACAACACTCCAGTAAGATTAGGAAATAGTTCTAGGAAAGATATGGCAATTACAAAATCTTAAACAGAGCTGGTCTGGAAAAAAAGAATTAATTTATGAGATTCGACGTTCCTTTAATTTTCTTAGGCAAAAAAAGGTGAATTTTAGAGCATATGCAAACTTAGGCTATATCAAAAATAAACATGTTAAAATAACAGAATGTATCTAAAGAGCATGTCCAGTGCATAGTTTCTGTTTATTCATGACCCAAGAGTTGATTTGATTACCTGGAGACGTTGTAGACGGGATGTGTGTGACATACGGGTGATGCTGAAACCTTGGTGGATTGTCATTGACGTCGGTCACCGTGACCAGCACACTGGTGGAACTGGAAAGAGGCTCTGGGGATCCAGCGTCACTGGCGACCACCACTAAGGTGTAATTATCTTTTGTTTCCCGGTCCAGCAACGCACTGGTGATGATCTGTCCCGTGGATGGGTTGATGGTGAACTGAGAGTTTCCACCGATGATCCTGTAACTGAAGCAGAGAGCGGAGGGGGCCGTGATTCCTGCAGTTATAATACTGTGCAGCATCTATTTACTGTAATTCAAAAACTGAGGCAGAAATGTAAAGAAAGACATTGTAAGTAAGATCACGCAACAAAGAACACGGCTAGGAGATATTTCAAATTTTATGTGAATATCACACTGACAGTCTTTATTGTGAGATGTCCAATGACCTTGAGTAGATCCTCTCAAGGTTTGTGGGCTTCTTAAATCATGCAAGACCCCAAAATACACCCAGAAGACTGTAGCGTTTTAAACAGACAAGCCTAAAAGCATAAATCAGAGCATTGCTCTAATATTGTGGTTAAGGGCCAGGATCACAAATGAACATCTGTTAAACGAATCTAAAAAATAGTTTTCCGCTGTGCGCCGTAACATCCCAAAGAAGATCAGTTGAAGATCTTCTTCTCTCAAGTCAAAACACTGTATTTGACACATATTGACTCTCCAGAATGACTGAGGAGCTGATTATTTATACAGAGCATTCCTAGTTACTAATTCTCTCATTTGTCACCCCTCACACAGCCATGCTGCTTTGCTTTCTTACTGTCAGGAGAGGTGTGGCATCTTCATGGACATTTTGATGCTAACCAGATTGGTTAACCGACTGGGCTTTCCACTGAGAATAGCTTCCCTCCTCTTTCTGAAGAGGAAAACTATCTGTATATATTCCTGAGAGATCGGCTAGGGAAGAAGATCCTAAGTTTGAAGTTTCAGAAGCTGGCTGTGGTCCATAATTTTTAAAGTTGGAGAGTAGTAAAGAAATAGATGTCCTTTATACCAAGAAAGAAATGCCCTTGCTGGAATTAAGTGCGTGTTTCTATAGTTTGGTTTGTGTTCACTGAACACATAGCAACAGCACGTGTCTGATAGAAATAGAAAAAAACAAAAAACAAACAAAAAAAAACCCCACACTGCAGCCGGCAGAGAGCACATTCCTCCTGTTAAGCTCACAGCTTTGAACAAAGAATTCAGAGTTCTTATTTTCATCCTTTTTAAGAGAAATAATAAACTGTTGGGGAGCTGATATTTAAGAATATAAAGCCAAAAATAGAGGCAAAATGATAGCAAAATAAAAAAGAACAGAGAGGGAGTTTGGTTTTGAAATGATTTCAATATTGATAAAGTACTTGGTGTCAGATTTTTAACGCCTTTTGGCAGAAACCACGTGCCATTATCAGGAGTGAGAGAGAACAGCCTGGAGCAGAAATGACTCTTCATAATCACAGCCCTCAGATAGCAGAGAATATCTATTCCCTTATTAAAACAAAAATATCAGAGGTTTGCAAATAAATTCTTAAAGTTAGAAATTCAGGTCTCATGAAATAATCAAATTGCCTTATTTTTCTGAGAAAGTCTGCTGGAACCTGGACTATGAGAATCGTGTGGTTTTATTTTGGGAAATCATCTTTCTACTCGTAGATGTAGAAATTACCAAATAACTTAATAAGAAAAAAGAAAGTAATTCATAGTGCCACAAACAGTTTTATGACAGCAAATATCAGAGTTCGATTAAATATTTGTTCTTTTAAGCAGTCACAAATCAAAATAAAAGAAGACTGATGATGAAAAATGCATGCAAGTTTGGATTTGGAGGTTTTGCATCTGACAAGACCGTGGTGTCTCAGAAAGAGCAATGTGTAGAGTGGTGAATGGTGTGAGTTCTGGTCCAGGCTCAGGTAAACAATACGTAAAGGAATCCTGCAGTGTAAATTCGTATTCTTTATTTAATGCTGTTGTACATGCTCTGGTCCATATGACTGTTTAAAGGTAGGTAATATATTTTCTATTTATAAGATGTATAGTCAAAATAATATGTGATTAATTGTTCTAGACTTTACTTGATTCTGAATTGTGCCAAAGGCATATTTTATTTTACTATTTTTTTAAAAATGTGAGACATTCTGTAATATCTTCTAAAATCTATAATACCAATTTCAAGCAAATTTATACCTGTAAGTTAAAGAGTTAGAGAGAGAGAGAGATAGGGGGAGGGAGGGAAGGAGGGAGGGAGAGCGAGCGAGAGCGAGAGTGAGAGAGAGAGAGAGAGAAAGGACTCAGAAAATGTGAACTGGGAGGGAGGGGAAGGTGAGAGAAGGAGACAGAGACAGGAGAGACCAAAAGGGAGGGGAGAGAGAAAAGGAGAGAGAGTGAGAGAGAGGGAGGGAGAGAGGGAGAGAGAGGGAGAGAGGGAGAGTGAGAGAGAGGGAGGGAGACAGGGAGAGAGGACTCCAGTGGCGATACCAAGGGGCTGACTGCCGGGCCGGCGCGTCCAGATGCTCCGGCCTCTGTTTTCTGAGTCGAGCTTCGGTTCTCACCCCCTCAGGGACACCTCTCTTGCCTCTCTGCTCCCCTAGAATTTCTTCTAAGGTTATGAATTTTATCAGGTTGTGTCTTGTCTTCTTAACACCGAAACGTCCGTGCTGTTAACACTTCAAAGACGTGCAGCATCTTGTACTTGGTGCCCACTAAGCACCCCGCAGGGCACTTGACATGTGCTCCCACTCGACCTCAGGACGACCCCAACACTTTGCTTTTGTTCGGAGTTATCTGTTGATGAGGAAGCTGAATCTAAGGGAGACTTGATATAGTTGCACAAAGAAGAATCCAATCTACAAATGGTCGACCTAGAATTCGAACTTCTGTCTTTATGACTTCGACACGCGCTTTTCCCATTACACTAAACTATAAGCAAAATCAAAGTCAGCCTGAGGGAGAGCAGTGGGGACAAGACATGCTTGCTGAGGCCGTAAGCGACCCTTGCTCACGGCGTGTAATGGAGATGTGGTTTACTGTGATTTAGTTCAATACGAATCAACAAATGTGTTAATTTATTTTGATTCAAGAATAAGAAATCATGGCTTCAAATTATCGGCATAAACTGAGATCACTGTTCCCTGAATCAGTAGTTGCTGTACTTGTAAAGTGAGAATATCCGCAGCTGGTTTTTCAAAAACTTATTTGCCTCCCCAAGATTTATGGGGCTCATAGGCACTGCACGGCACGCTGCTAGAACACAGCTCACTCGGACATGCGTTCAGACCTCAGTCGTGGCACTTAAATGCACAAAATTCCTTCACCTCTCCCCATTTATACAGTATGGATCACGCATGTATTCTTTTCATTTGGTAGTTTTGAGATTAAATGCAATTTCATGTGAAAAGCACTTGGCATTATAATTGACACATGACAAGAATTCCGAGTCACGTCTTACACATATAACGGAGTACATATACAGATAATTATAATATAAAAATCCACGAGATAGAATCTATTATAACCCATCTATATATCTAAGAAAATGGACAGATGGACTAATAGATGGAGACAAAGATAAGCATGTAAAAAATCTTGTGCCCAAGCTTACACCCTAAAGGGAAGAAAGACATATAGAAAAGTAAACACCAAACAAGGCGGTGCGCTTGAGAGCTTTGACACTGCAGAAACATTGCTGTAGATACTCAGGAGACAAAAAGAGCAACTTTAATTAAAATAAAGCCTTCCTCGGAGAAGGGTAAATTCAACTTCATTTTAAAGGGGTTACGATCATTACGATGGGGCTGGAAAGTGAGAAAGTAGGCGTTCTCGGCCGGGAGTCAGCAGATCTGTTCTGCAAAAGGCCGGTGGGCAAATATTCCCGGCGTCGTAGGCCTGAAGCCGCTGCTGCAACGTGGCAGAGTGACAAAGCAGCCACCTGCCGTGAGCGCCACGGCTACGCTCCAAAGC